GAACCGTTGGAGCTGACTGGATACAGGATGACTGGAGCGTTGTCGTTCTGATCCAGAAGGAACACGTTCACTGTGACGTTGCTGCTCAGTGACGGAGTTCCAGAATCTGACGCAACAACGTGGAACTTGAACGTTTTCACTGTTTCAAAGTCGAAACTTTTCAGCGCGGATATTTCTCCGTTTTCCGAGTTTACATTCAGGAACGATGTCGCATCACCCTGCAGCCCATCACCTCTCACAATGTGGTATATTATTACTGCATTTTCATTTAGATCATTATCAGCAGCAGTCACAGAAAATATGGAGGCGCCCGGGGCATTGTTTTCTACCAGATAAAGTTCATATGGATTCTGACTAAAAACTGGTTTGTTATCATTAACATCTGACACCTGAACACGTAAGGTTTTTGATGAGGAAAGTGGAGGTTCACCACAGTCAGTAGCTGTTATTGTGATGTCATAATCAGACACAGTTTCTCGATCTAAACGCCCTTTTGTGACAAGAGAGTACATGTTTTCCTCGATGGATGGCGTCAAATCAAACGGAACATTGTCTGAGATTTTACAAATAACTTTTCCATTAACACCTGAGTCTCTGTCCGTGACACTAATAAGGGAGATAACGGTGCCAGGCTTTGAATCCTCGGGGACAACGTTGGACAGTGATGTCACTTCAATATCTGGCTGATTATCGTTCACATCTTTAATTTTTATCACAACTCTGCTTCCAGCCGTCCAGGGTAGCTGCCCTTTATCTGAAGCCTGCAAGTCTAATCTGTAAATTTCCGTGTCCTCAAAGTCCACTTTTCCTTTCACTCGAATCTCACCAGTGACGCTGTCTAATTCAAATGTCTCTTGCACTTTCTTCTTTTGTGTTTTTCCAAACGTGTATTCAATCACGCTGTTCAAACCCTCATCTAAATCCGTAGCGTTCAGCTGTATTACAAGAGTTCCTATCGGCGCATTTTCATCCAACGACACGCTATAAGTGTCTTTGCTGAACACAGGGCGATTATCATTTGCATCTAGTACAGTGATTGTTAAATTAAGACTCCCAGATTTGGCCGGACTGCCCCCATCAATAGCCGTCAATGTTAAATGATGTTCTGCCTTTTGCTCCCTGTCCAAAGGCTTTTTCAGCACTAAAAACGGGATCTTGTCCCCCTCGCTGTCCCTCACCTCTGTATCAAAAAATTCATTTTGGTTCAATTTATATAATCGCACCGACTGTGTACCGACGTCAGGGTCTCTGGCGGCATGGATTTGGAAACGAGTACCTGGGGGAGTGTGCTCTGCTATTTCCAGTCGCTGCTCGCTTTCCGGAAAGGTCGGTGAATGGTCATTAACATCCATTATTTCAACACTAACATAATGTATTTCCAGTGGGCTCTCGACAACAATTTTCAGGTTTATTAAACAAACCTTTGTTCCATCGCAGATTTCTTCGCGGTCCATAATTTCCCCTACATACAACACTCCATTGTTCTGATTCAATTGAAATAGAGCGTGATTTGGACCGGAAACGACGCGGAACCTCCTGTCTGTCAAAGTGCTGGTGTCAAGCCCCAAATCCTTAGCGACATTTCCAACAGGGGATCCCACTTGTACTTCTTCTGGAACTGAGTATCTTAGCTGAGCCCAAATCCCCTCCTCAAAGCACAGCAACAAAATCCACCAGCAGTTCACTCGGCTCCTTTGTCCTCGATATCCCATTGTGAAGCAAAAAAGCGGCTTTATTTGACGTAAATACAGCGATCCAGTTGTTCATCGAATCAGCAAAATTAGATAAATTACAGCATTTTCAAACAGAAGCACCCCCACACACATATATGAACCGCTTTTCACGAGTAATGCAAAATCTACGATGTGCACTCCGCAAGTATACCCTTCATCTGAGATGATCTGGAGATGGGCAGGGCCAGTGCAGGATAAGCAACACAACCATTACCGAGGCCACACTGACATCATCTGGCCACTGGGCTTCAATACGATACGAAATCAAGTGTTTTACTTCACTTCTGACTTCCTTCAGTAGATACTGTCAATAGATGGGACAAGTTATGATCGTAAAATTTGCTCTAATATCTCGTGGTATCTGTATTCGAGGCAGACTAGAAGTGGAGACACACACTGTCACTCTGCCCCACACGTCCATGTTGTTCGATACAGGGATTCGCTTTGACTAATTCTAGTCACGTGACTTCACATACATGTATGGAACTCAGCTCGAGTGGTTATAGGTCATTCTGCAGTCGTTGTGTTGCCAATAAGGAGAAATAATTAGATCAAGTAATAGTGAAAACACATTTCAGCACCACGAACAGCGCCATTTCTCACTCAGAAAAGCAAAGAGGAAGAAGAAGAAGAAAAAGAAGAAGGGAAACATGCAGCTGCTTACATATGAACCACAGTTCAACATAGCGTGTCAAAGCATATGAGGTTATAGTAAAAAATATATATTTACCTCTCCTGAAGCCCCCCTCCTGTCAGGCAGCACTAGAGTATTGGCATGGCTTCCTGGGACAATAGTAGATCCTATGCTCATCCTGGGTCCAACTAACATGTAGCGTTTGTCTCCAGATCTGTACTGGATGCTGTGACACAGTGTCCCATCATAATTGGGCTCTTGTAGATATTTAGAAGTGAAGTCTGTGGACTTTGAGCACTGCATTGAAATCAGCACGATGATACTGATGAGAAAAAGAGCTGAAACTGAGCCCAAAGTTATCATCAGGTAAAAAGTCACATTATTGTCCTCATCTGCTTTTGTTGAA